TGTTATATCCAGCCCGTCGCTCCACTTCAGATAGATCACTTTAATTAGCAGTCTTATCTCCCGATCTTCACTCGAAATATGTGCATTTGCTTCTCTCTAATTGTTTATTTTGAACTCCTGCAACCAGGACGCGTGATTAGAGACAGCTTCAGGGAGAGCCATCTCCCACGAGGGCTGTGTGCCTAATGCCCTCACCCCCTTCTTTCGAATCTGGGGGTGATTTATGGCAACCGCAGGCAAGGCAGTGTTCACCATTCCCTTGGGGTAACAAGGGAGGCTGTATACTCCCATATCAGCCTCTTAATTACCTCATGTGAGCCGGAGAGATGGTATTGTCGGCCATCTTCCAATGCGCCCCTAGCGGGCCCCCTGCTGCAATGTAGCATTGGTCCTCTCTGACTCTCCATTGGTTTGAGGGTGTCTTGCTGATGTCAAACACACTTCAACTTCCAAAAGCTGCATCAGCTTCCTCCAAAACTGTGAGGTAAATTGTGTTCCTCTGTCCAAAATCACTCGCAACGGCAGTCCGTGCAGTTTGAACACGTGGTCTACAAACATCTGGGCCGTTTCCTGTGCCGACGGCAGCTTTGGGCATGGCACGAAGTGTGCCATTTTCGTGAACAAGTCCACCACGACCCAGATCGCTGTCTGCTTTTGAGAAGGTGGCAAGTCTGTGATAAAACCCATCGCGATCACCTCCCAAGGTCCTTGCAGAGTCGGAAGCGGTTGCAGAAGCCCCGCTGGTGCTGCTCTAGGTGTTTTTGCTCGTTGGCAAGTGTCACATGCCCTGACATACTCCTGGGCCTCTTCTCTCATCCTGGGCCGCCAAAACAGTCTCCTTAGTTGATCTACAGTCTTGTACTGCCCAAAGTGACCCGCCGTCGGGTTGTTGTGGCACTGCCACATGACTCGTGCTCGCAAATCCCCTTCTTGCACGTAGAGCACCTCACCCTTAAACAAGAGGCCTTCCCTTTCAGTGAATCCTTCAGCGCTGTTCTCCTTGTTACGTATCGCTGCCAGTTTCTGCTGTGCAAATTCATCTCCTTGTGTTTGGCGCTTGAACTCCTCTACTCCGACAATCGACGTCGCCGCTAGTTGAAACTGTTCTGACTTCAGAATGTGTTTCAATTCTTGCTTCTGTTCTCCCCTCATGTATTCCGGTTTCTGGGACAAGGCGTCCACCCTCTAGTTCAGTATGCGGAAGTTGAAGCGGACAAAGAACTGCGACCACCTGATCTGTCTCTGGTTCAGTTGTCTCGTGGTCTTCCAATATTCCAAGTTCTTGTGATCGGTGTGAACATCCACTTGGTGTCGTGCACCTTCTAGGAAATGCCTCCATGTCTCCAAGGCCTCTTTTATAGCCAGCAGCTCCATTTCCCAAATGGTGTAGTTCTGTTCCGAGGCGTTAAGCTTCCACGAATGGAATGCACCAGGCCGTAAGTCCCCGTGGCTGTCTTCCTGCAGCAGCACCGCTCCTACTGCCCTTTCAGAAGCATCCATCTCCACTACCATCGGTCTGTATGGATCTGCGTGGTGCAGATACTCCTCCATGGCTAACATCTCCTTGAGCCTCTCAAACGCGCACTGTGCCTCCTCCGTCCAGACAAATGGCTTCTTGCCCTCAAGCAGTCAGTGAGGGATGTGGTGAGTTGCGAGTAGTTAGGCACGAACTTCCTGTAGTAGTTAGCGGAGCCCAAGAACCTCTGCAAGTCCTTCTTGGTCTTAGGCTTCTTACTTATGAAGAAAACTGGGGCTCCCCCTGGTGCCTTTGTTGGTCGGATAAAACCCTTTGCCAAATTCTTCTACGGGAATTCCCTCAGCTCGGCTAGTTCTGTCTCTGACATGGAATAGAGGCGACTGGTGGGTATCTGGGCCCCTGGCACCAAGTCTATTTTGCAGTCATAAGGGTAGCGTGGGGGTAACTGGTCTGCCTCCTTCTCACAGAACACGTCTCTGAAGGCCTTATACTGCGGGGGTATGGAACTCTCTTCTCCCATGAGTTTCCCTCCTACCTCCGCCCCCTTCGCTCGCACCTCTCTAGGTACTTCAAGCCTCAAGCAGTTCGCTTGGCAAAAGGCTGACGTGAAAGTTAAGGAGTGTTGGAACCAGGCCACGACAGGTTCGTGTTTTGTGAGCTACATCATTCCTAGGACTATGGGGTGTGTTGCTAACTTAGTGATATGGAACCTCATTGTCTCCTTGTGCCGCACCACCTCCACCCCTAACCGTTGTGTGGCTTGAACCACCTCCCCCCCATTAAGGGTCTACCATCTATCATCTGTACTTCGATTGGGGAGTCTAGTTGCTGTTTCCCAAGGTTGTGTTGCTTCACAAAATCTGCATCGACAAAGTCTAGAGAAGCTCCCGATTCCACCAACGCTTGCCCTTGCACCCTGCGACCATCTGGGAGTTGTATCGTCATGGGCAGAGCTATCCCAGGAATGGCTGGTTCCATTTGAGGCCCCTCTACTGACTTGTCTCCCAGCCCCTGGCGTCTCTTAAGGGCTGGGATTGGCCATTTCCTAACTGTTCTGCTTGGGGTTTGGGCTTTTCCTCCACCCTGGCCCCTGAAAGGAATCCCCCTGTCTTCCTATCAGGACACTGTTTAGCCAAATGCCCCTGCCTAGCACACACGAAGCAAGTGTGTGTCTCCCGACGCCGCTGACTCCCTTCCTTCCATGCCTTCCTGGTTCTCTCCCCCTCCACTGATCCAATCTGCATCGGTTCAACAGCTTCTCCCTGACTAGGTGTGCTGCCAACCCCCTGTTCCGGAAGCTTGGGAGTGTAGGCCCTTACCCCCAAGGGCCCCCCTGCCCCCCTCTTCTCTAGCTTCCTCTGCTGTTGGTGTAGCCCTAGCTGTAAGGACGCTTGAACTATCTCTTCCAATGACTGCATCGGTTGCATCTTTGCCATCTCATCCAGGATCGAAGGAATCAGCCCTGCATGATACATGGCTGCAAGGGGCCCTGTGCTCTGTCCCCAGCCCACCTTGTGCACTAGTGAATTGAAGGTAGTCCAGTAAGAGGCCACAGAGTCACCCCTTGTTGCACGTTGAGTAGCTGCTGCTCTGCAGTGGCGTGCTCTAGTGGGCTCTTGAACATGGCATCCATCAGTCTCCAGAACTAATGCAGGTTCCCTAGAGTACTGTGTTGGGTCTCCATAAGGGTGATAGCCCAGTCCTTAGCTGTCCCCCCAGCCAGCTGATCAGACATGCAACACGCTGCTTATCTGAGCTGAATTCAGATGATCTCAAGTCCAAAATGTATCTGGCTTCAGTTCTAAAGGCTGCATAACTTTCTGTATCTCCGTTGTATTTAGCCGGGTTCAGTCCAGGCCCCCTGCTGACTCTGAGGTTCCTTTCCTGTTCTGAAGTCAACCTTTGTTCCTGCAGTGCTCCTGCCAAGATATCTAGTTGGCTTTTGAGCTGCCATGTGTAGCTTCTTAATTCTGTTATGGGGTCTGTGGGTTCTCCTGCCCCCCCCCAGCTGCTCCCCCAGCCGCACTTCCCATGTCCATCCATCACGGTCTTTGATGTCCTCCGGCGTGAGAGATTAGGATGGGACTAGGCAATCTGTAATGGCTTGGCTCTCCCACAGAAGCGAGACACCGGCAGTAATTATCTCAGGTTTATTGCTCAAACACATAAATCACTCCGGAGCTCCTTCACTCCGTGTCTGACTCCAAGTTAGGAGTTGCCAAGTCTAAACTCCGCCCCTTCATCTGCTTCCAACAGGGGGAAAAAACCCTTTCTCTTCCACTCTTTTCCCCTCCTCTCACTGACCTTTTCGTGCCTTCAGGTTTTGGACTAGCTATTCCCGGCATCGCCCCTTCTGTCTCTGAGCTAAGATTGGTGTTTAGAGCTTTGCTATCTTCTGTTTGCTCTCTGCTCTCTGAAACTCTGCCACTCGGCTGCCCCTCCTCCCTCTCACTTTCTAGTCCGCATTCCAGTGTCCTTATCTCCCTTGGCTTGCTTAGATTCCCAGCCTCTGTCAGCTCCAGAACGAAGTTTGGTTTAATAAAGGAGACAGTGCCCCAAGATAAATAGCCACTTACTGCAAAGAGTTTTCCTTGCTTTTTCCCAGAGACACCTCTGAAGGTTCTGTAACTATCAAGTGTGCCTTTCCCAATGCTGCTACAGCAGAGGTTGGCTTGGAGGGTACACATTCCCCCAAAACCAAGACTTTCCCTTAAGCCCTGGAAGTTTTTTTTACTACAGGCATGAGTTCCCTCCTTTTCCTTCCTCCCCCTTCCTCCTTGGCCTGCCTTCAGGACCTTTGGAAACAGTAGGGTTGGCCCTGTTGATTTGTGCCAGAGTGCCCCTCTTAAATGGGACATTCCAGGATCCAAACAGAATCCAGGATTGGCTTCTGTGATCAATGATGTCCCACTTAAAATGGGACAATTGGGGGTATGAGATTGCCAGGAGAACCCATTGATACCCCCAATTTTATCCTCACTAGAAGGGACAATACGCTTGTGGCGTTTGCCCTCCTAGGTTGGTGACATCATACTGGGTTCATAAGGAAAGGGTTAACTAATTGTAAAATGTCTAACCTATAGGAACCCAAGGGGAGGAGTTAGAGTTAGAGTTTTTAAGAAGTCAGTCTGGAGTTAGAGAAGGGAGAGGGAGGATAAGTCTGTGGGTTGGGCTAGTTTGATGTGAGAGAATGAGAGAATATGTTAAGAGGAGTCAGTTAAAGAGTTGGGATAATCAGTTAGAAGGTATTAGGAAGGTATAGGCCAATAAAGAAACTAAGGTTAAGAAACTGACAAGAAAAATTATCTGAAACCATAAACTTGTTAATGCTTATAAAATAAACTTGTTTATTTGGTTTAACGTTAACAACTGTCTGGACTCAGTGTGTACCCGAGAGAAACGGGTTGGTGGCAGCGGGGAAGCAATCACAGTGGTGGCACAGGGATCAATAGACCGTCAAACGTCTGGGGACCCTGTGTGATCGCCACAACGCTGTAGACTTGGGACTATTGGTGTCCAGCAATGCAAGCCATGGTCAATATTTGTTGTTCTGGGGTTAGTCAGTTGTGTTTAATGAAGCAGACAGTGCCCCAAGATAAATAGCTGCTTACTGGAAAGAGTTTTCCCTGCTTCTTCCCAGAGACACCTCTGAACGTTCTGTAAGTATCAAGTGTGCCTTTCCCGATGCTGCTACAGTAGAGGGTGGCTTGGAGGGTACCATGGGGGTGGTCTGTGTGCCAATGGAGATGTCAGGAAAGGGGAGAAGAGGAGCAGGTATGAAAAAGGAGATGATAGTGAAAAATGGGTTGAAAAGGAGGCTGCAGAATAGAAGCAGCTTTAAAAATGGGGAGATGCAAAGGGTGGTTGGAAATAGCATCAGGCACGTACTGAAGTCATGTAGGTGGTACATGACTTCCGTCAGACTAGCCAAAATATACAAACTAAAATCAAATTTGTGTTGGAGATGTCAAGAGGTGGAGGGAACGATGTATCATGTATGGTGGGGATGTGGGGAAATAAAAAAATTATGGAGCAGCATTCACAAAGAACTAAAAAAGATGTTTAGAACATCATTTGAGAAAAAGCCAGAAGTGTTTCTACTAGGCTTAGTCTCAAAAGACATCCCCGGTGATAAGAAAAATGTGTTTTTATGTGCCACAGCTGCTGCTAGACTACCATTAGCCAAAAACTGGAAAGGGGCACTGCTCCCTCAGTAGCGGAGTGGCAAAACAAGCTTTGTGAATTTATAGAACTGGCTAAAATGACAGCAGCTACTAGATTCCAATCAAATCAAAAATTAAAGAAAGAATGGGAATGTGTGGAAGAATACATGACAAAACATTGCTTCAAAACAAATTTATTGATATGCATTGACTGAAGTTCGTAAAGTTAAGGTTAAAAGAAGAAAAGTGACTAATGGGGAATATGTAAATAATTTTCCTTAACACAATATTATAGTAATGAATAATATTGAAAGCTGAGCATGGATGGAGCGAAGTCACAATGGTATAAATCAGAAAAACGAATAGACAGTAATATATATGTTGATAGTATGTATTGTAAAGAATGATAAAAGGTGTAACTGAATGTAACAATGCAAAATTAAAATGAAAGATAAAATGAAAAAAGAAAAAAGAAATAGCATCAGGCAAATTTTGCTGTCTTTTACCTTATTCCATTTTGGGTTATTGACAAAGGTTTTAACTTGTGCTTTTTCTGGGGGCACACAGTACTGGCACCATTTATTTATTTTTTTATTGTTAAATGTTTGGAACTTCCTAAAGCAACTTCATGATGAGTCTTCATGATGAGAGCTGGCACGTTTGTTTCCTTTTTTAAAACAAAAACATGGGTTTTAACAAAGATCACTTTGTCCCTAATATTCTGCCCAAAGGGGGGGAAAAGTGGGTTTTTAAAATTTTTCTGCCAGAATGCCAGACAATAGCTGAAATGCAAGCCAGAATCCTCCGCATAACAGTACCAGAGAAGCTTAAGAGACCGGAAAGGACAAAAGCAACAAATAAAGATTGTCTGCCATGTTAATATAAAGTAGACATAAACGCAATGCCAACATCCTTCATTGTATAGTTGCAATGATCATTTTTAAATGTGATCCCCTCCCCCCAGAGAACTTCCAGAGGAACACAATGCCTCACATCTACCTGTCTTTGCTTCTGGCTGGGCTCTGTGCTTTTGCCCACTGTCACCATACTCTTGACCACAAGGAGGACCATGACCATTCTCCTCTTGCTGAAGGTGACAGAGATTTGCCTTCTGTGAAGATAGTCCAAGGAAATGCTGACTTTGCCTTTCGATTCTACCACCATGTTGCTTCAGAGACCTCTGAGAAGAACATTATCGTTTCCCCTCTAAGCATTTCCGCTGCGTTGGCCATACTGTCACTGGGAGCTCAAAACACCACATTAAGTCAGCTTTTGTTAGGACTTGGTTTTAACCAGTCAGATACCAGCGAGCAGGAAATACACGAGGGTTTCCGCCATCTGTTACACATGTTGAACCTCCCCAATGCTGAAATCCAGCTGAGCATTGGGAATGCCCTATTCACAAATGACCAAGTGAAACTCGTGAAGAAGTTCCTGGATGAAGCCAAACATTTTTATGAGGCAGATGTTCTTCCAACTAACTTTATGAATCCTGCAGTAGCTGAAAGTCAAATCAATGGATATATAAAGAACAAAACCAATGGGAAATTAGATGATGTTGTCCAGGGTCTTGACCCAGAGGCTGTGATGATTATTGTGAACTATATTTACATGACAGGTAAGTCAGATGGACTTGTTTTATACACATTTTGCTTCTTAGATGTTCTTTAAACTGAGAAGTTTAAACTTTAAGTTGTGGTTCTAGGTCCAGATTTGTTGGTGCTTTAGTCTGGAATCATCGTCTGCCCATTGTGTGAGCAGAAACTTCTCAGACTTCTCATCACAGGGAAGTTCCTTAAATCTGTCAGAAACTTGACCTCCACCATTATCAAAACAAATCAAATATATTGTGATACCCATTTTCCTGGAAATGTGATTCAGCAATTGGGCACTAAAGTGGAAACAGAGCTATAAAGACAGGTGTCTCAAGATACCACTAAAACATGAGCGCTTATTAAATGCTCTGAGTGAGGAGATTTCACCCCTCCCATATCCAAGAATCTCCTGAGGAGTCTGCTGATTCTCCAGAGAGGAGGAGGCGTGTTCTGCTCTCTACTTATTCTGCTCCAGCAACGAGTCAGTCAGTCAGTCAGTGTCGGAGAGAGAGAGAGACTGTTAGAGATTGTGTGTATAGATAAGGTCGCTGCTAAGAGCAGCTGCAGACACTCAGTGCAGTGCAGCATTCATTTATGCTTAGACCTATTTAGCTCTGTATATAGTTGTATAATAGTTGTAGATAGAATAAAGAAGATATTCTACAGAGCTGCTCTCCAAGTTGTTTCTAGAGTCTGCTGTACTCTGCTGTGCGACGACTGTCTTCTTGTGGGAGTGAATCCGGTGCTCTCAACTCTAAGCTGTGAGTCCACAGCACTTTGACCTGTTCCTGTGCGGAAGGTGGTCTCTGGAAGTGCTACCCAGCTCGCCTAGCCCAGTCGGGGCTGAAGTGGATGAGTCCAGTTGGTGGCACTGGCTCAAGGGCGATGCTGACACTGAGTATGATAATATATAATAATATTACAGTGGTACCTCGGGTTAAGTACTTAATTCATTCCAGAGGTCCGTTCTTAACCTGAAACTGTTCTTAACCTGAAGCACCACTTTAGCTAATGGGGCCTCCCACTGCCACCGCGCCGCTGTTGCACGATTTCTGTTCTCATCCTGAAGCAAAGTTCTTAACCCGAGGTACTATTTCTGGGTTAGCGGAGTCTGTAACCTGAAGCGTATGTAACCTGAGGTATAGTATAATATAATATAATATAATATAATATAATATAATATAATATAATAATATAATATAATATAATATAATATATTGAAGAATTAAATAGCCTTTTTTCAACATTGTAATCCACACATCTGTATCTGACCCAGTTCCGCCCGTCACTTACTTGGCGATCACAGAAAGGGGTAGCACCAGCAGTAGTTTCTACCCACTGTTTGATCAGGTGCATGGAGGAAAGAGGCTCCCCACCAGCGGAGCCTTGCAGAGTGCCAGAGTGTGGAGTTGAGGGACGCCGCCACTTCATCCAAACCCCTCCAGCCATTAGGATTAAGGGGTTTGGATTAAAGCTATACATGCTGAGATAAGATGGCGCCCGGCACACTTCCCCTGTGCCGATGGACGCTTGTGCCGATAGGAAAAACTTGAACTCTTAGCAGAGTTCTTAGCAGAGTTCCGCAGCGGTAGAAAGTGTTGCCTTGTGTGTGGATAATAAATCAGACTGAACGCAGGCTTCTTACTAATCTCTAACAGCCTTTAATGAGAAGAAAAACATCATAAATCAGTCCCGGCGAGAGAGCAGACATCCTTCTCGCCTCTCAGCCAAAAACGAAAAGAAACTCACACACAAAGAAAGATTCCCGTATGTGAACCAAACCACGCCTCAGAATGTGAGATGTCACACAGAACTGTTTAACCCTGTAAGTTCTGATTCTCCTCACACCCCCTCTTGTCTCGCATCCTGAGGGAAACTGTGAGTATAACTCACCCCAAACACAACCCTTCACAGAACTCCCCATGTCGCTGGAAGGTCAAGGGTTTGGTAAACCCATCAGCTAGGTTCAAACAATACTTGAGCCGTATCCAACCTGCTTGGACACTCTGACATACATTCTGGAAACGTATGTCCAAATGCTTGGTTCTGGACTTGAACTGTCCAGATTCTGCCAATCTAAGACAAGGTTGATTGTCTCCCCAAACAGTTATGGGCAAGTAACAATCCCCACAGATCTCTTGGATCAAGCACCGGTAGAAGTCCAACTCCCTGCACAAATCCGACAACGCACTGAACTCAGCCTCAGTGGAAGAAAGTGCAATAAGACTTTGCTTCCGGGACTTCCACCCAACCAGGGATTCCCCGAACTTTACCACCAGCCCAGACACAGACTTCCTGTCCCCAAGAGATGCCCAATCGCTGTCACTGCAGCACGTAAGCCATGCGTCACCTTCAGCTGACAACGTGAGGCAAAACTCTTTGGTATCCTGCAAATACCTCAACACTCTCTTGATGCCTTGCCAGGCATTCACACTGGGCTTAGTAGCCTCCCTGCTGAGCTATGTCTGGTCTGCTCCACTGAGAGAGATACAACAGACTCCCTAGCGCTGACTGAAACACCTCAGGGTTTTGGAACTCAGAACGCTCCCAAGCTGACTGTTGGTCTCCATGGGCGTTCTGACCCCTGCACAGTCAGACATCTGGAACTTCTCAAGCAACTGCTCAATCTTGCCTTTCTGACTGAGCAAGAAACTCCCGTTCTCAGACCTGTCTATCCTAACGCCTAGATAAACCTGAACGAGACCAAGGTTTTTGAGCTTAAACTTCTTACCAAGCTCTTTGGCAAAACCTTGCACCTGTCTACTTGTCTGTGCCACGTACAGAATATCATCTACGAACACCAGAATTGCCTCCTGTGTCTCTTCTGACCCCTTCAGGTACAGGCAACTGTCTGCAAGACCCTTCTGGAAACCCAAACTTTCCAGAGCTTCATTCAGAAAATGTTCCAATTTCTGGCTGACTGTTTCAAACCATAAATTGACTTGTGCAGCTTCCACACAACACCTGGCTCATTGCCCTCAAACCCTGGAGGAGGTAACATGTACAGATCCTCCTTCAGATCCGAGTTCAAATAAGCCACATCCACATCAAAGTGGTGCACTTGGTGCCCTCTTTGAGCAGCTACTGCTAAAAGCACCCGCAGAGTCTCACTCCGGAAAGTAGGAGCATACACTTCGGTGTAATGCAGCCCCCTTCCCTGCGTGAACCCTCTGGCTACAAGCCTCGCCTTGTATTGTGGTTCTCCAGAGGCTGTGGGCTTACTCCTGTAAACCCAATGACAGCTCACGGCCTGCTTTCCCTCTGGCAGCTTCGTGGTGGAGAACACACCTAAGGACCTGATTAGGTTCAACTCCTTTCCCATTGCCTCTTGCCACTTCCTGGCTTCTGCTTCAGGCAACTGTTGAACCTCCTCAAAACTCTCAGGTTTGCACTGCGCTAAACCAACCCACACGCTGGTGACCTCAAACCTCTCAGGTGGTACCCCCTTTGTAGCGCGTGTGGAACGTCTGAGCACTGTCTCAGGTGCTCCCTCTGACCCACTGGGGCCAGCTAGTGTGTCTCTGACATCAGAAGACTCCCCCTCTGACTTACTGCGTCTTCTGGCCTTCTGCACTTTACTAACGGGAGACGAAGGCTCACTTTTGGGCTCTCTTTTAACAACCTGTGGAGATGCCCCTCCCTCTTCTTGACCCTGGTCAGAGACCTGGTCCTCATCAACAGGTTCAGCTTCTAACTCTCCCTCCTCAGCAGAATCAGACAGACACTCTGAGAGAACGTCAGGATTCGCATGAATCCTTGACCAACCACTGTGCTCACAGAACTCAGCACTCCTGCTGACTAGAATCCTGGACTGATCGCCTTCTGGATAGGCAAACCTCCACCCTTTTGTCCCAGGCTCGTACCCACAAAAGATCATTTTCCGGGACCTTGGGTCACCTTTCTGGCATTGAGCCTTTGGCACAAGCACCCAAGCTTCGCAACCAAACACACGGAAGAAATGCACCTTGGGCTTCTTCCGGTGCAGCAGAAAATAGGGTGTCTCTCCTACAACAGAGCTATAGGACCTGTTCAAAGTGAAGCTGGCAGCTTTCCAAGCTTTGGCACAAAAGCTCTGAGGCAAACCAGAGTCAAACAGTAGAGCGTCAGCTGCCTCAGCTAGCATTCTGTTCCGGCGCTCCGCTCCGCCATTCTCCTGAGGAGAAAAAGCAACCGTCAACCTGTGACTTATCCCCTTCTGGTGGAAGAAACTCTGCAGAGCAGACCCGGTGAACTCTCCGCCTCAGTCACTCTGAAAGCTCTGCACCTTGGTGGAAAACTGTAGTTCCACCACCGCAACCCAGTCTTTGATCAGTTGCGCCACCTCGCTTTTCTGTTTCAGTGAGAAGATCCAGCCGTTCCTTGAAAAATCATCTGTCAGCGTGAGCGCATACCTGGCTCCGCCCAGACTCGGCACTGGCATGGGTCCACAAAGGTCTGTATGCACTAGCTCAAAAGGTCTTGTGGTTACCCTCTCCGATCTGGGATAACTGCACCTTTTTATCTTTGCTCTTTTGCATGCCCTACAATCCAAGAATTTACCACATGCTTTCATCTTGCAACCCTCAGTGCATTCTGGCAACTTCTGGATATATTTCCAACAGCTATGCGACATTCTCCTGTGCCACAAGTGAGCACACGAATCATGTGTGGGAACGTTAGCACACCATGCCTGTGCTGTCTCAGCGTTCCCCTTACCCTCCAGAGGTGTCTCCAGAACAAAGAGGTTGTTCTGACATGCAACATTGACCAGTTGTTTCCCACCCCTGGAAATAGAACAGACATCATTTTCAAAGCAAACCTTATAACCCTCCTTTACAAGAGCAGATACAGATAAAAGACAACACTTCATTCTTGGCACAACGTAGACTTCCAGCTCTGCCTGTAAAAAAGAAACAAACACATTGCCAACTATGGTTAATTGTCTCTGTGAGCCATCAGCAAGAGTGACTGTTTTCCCAGTTGAAACAGCCCTGCAGTTCCACATTTCGCCACTAGATGGCGATGGCATCAGGTGATGGCTGGCTCCTGAGTCGATGACCCAACGCAGCATGCTGCCCTCATCGGAGTTGTCCTTCAGCGTTGCCATGGAGGCAGCTAGGTGATAAGAAGAACCGTCCTTCTCACTTCCTCTGTCACGTCCTCCCTTTGCATTCCCAAGCTGGCCTCCTCTCCTAGACTGGCTGCCATGGAAACCTGGCTGGCTGCCACAAGGACTTGGCTGACTGCCATGGGAAGTGACCTTGGAGACATCCTGCCTGGCCTCTCTAGCTTTCCTCAGACAGGTCCGACGCAGATGGTCAACAGACCCGCAGACAAAACAACGACAAGTGGAAAAAGCCTAAACTGTGCCTTCTGGCTTGGCCCCCCCTCTGTTACCAGCAGGGCACCCTGTGTCAGCTCGGCCCTCTCTGAGACGGCGTTCCTCCTCGTCACACAAACGCCCAGTCATATATTGCAGCGTAAGATCCGCTGGATTCATTGATTCCAAAGTTAGACACAAATTGTCATAACTTTTGTCCAAAGAGCTGAGCAAAATATAAACTTTCAGTTCCTCAGTAAAGTTGACTTGCAACAGTCTCAGCTTGTTGAAAACAGAGAGCATCTTAGTCACATGCTTTCTGATGCTATCACCAGGACGCAGCTTCAGCTCAAACAAGCTTCTGGTGGTGTGGATCTTTGCCCCAGCTGTGGTCCTGTGATGCACTCTCTCTAGTGCCTGGCAGGCCTCCTGGGCAGTCTCAAGACCCTCCACCAAAGGTAGCTGTGAGCCCTCCAAACTGAGCACTATAGCTCCTAGGGCTTTCTGGTCTTTCCTCTGTGAGGTTTGGGCAGCTGCAACAACTGCTGCTGCAGCTCCGGCTGAAGCTTGCTGTGGGGGCCCTTGGGTCGCCTCCCACAGACCCTTGGCTACCAGCCAGGCCTTCAGCTTCCTTGACCACTCCTCCCAGTTGCTCCCATTTAATTTTTCAAAGGGGACTGAGAATGACTCCTGTCCATTTGCCATCTTCTCCCCCGGGGCTGAGCCTACTCACGTAACCAGCAGCTCCTCTTGGCACCCGGTCCTGAAGATGAGATCCTCCCCAGCAAGCTTCACTGCCTCAAACGTTAGGCAGGGGCTGCAGCTGGCTTCTCCCACACACACAGGCACGATGTGGCAACAGCTTTCAAAGCTTGGCTAGCTCCCATAACCTGCTGAGATAAGATGGCGCCCAGCACACTTCCCCTGTGCTGATGGACGCTTGTGCCGATAGGAAAAACTTGAACTCTTAGCAGAGTTCTTAGCAGAGTTCCGCAGCGGTAGAAAGTGTTGCCTTGTGTGTGGATAATAAATCAGGCTTCTTGCTAATCTCTAACAGCCTTTAATGAGAAGAAAAGCATAATAAATCAGTCCCGGCGAGAGAGCAGACATCCTTCTCGCCTCTCAGCCAAAAACAAAAAGAAACTCACACACAAAGAAAGATTCCCGTATGTGAACCAAACCACGCCTCAGAATGTGAGACGTCACACAGAACTGTTTAACCCTGTAAGTTCTGATTCTCCTCACAATACAGTGGTACCTGTAATGGCTTGAACTCCCCTCAGAAAAGGAGATCTGTGTTTCATTTATTAAAAAAGGAACAATTGGACTTGATTTGTCTACAAGAAACACATATAACAAGGTTACACAGGAAATTATTGATTAATAAAAGACTTGGTCAGGAGTTTATTTCATCGGACAAGGTTAAAAAAAGAGGGGTTGTGATTTATGCAAAGGACAGATTATCACTGAAATTTATTTTTAAAGAAGACCAAGGAAGATTTGTGGCAATCGAAATTCAAACACAAGGAGAAAAATTTTTGATAGTAGGAATTTATGCACCAAATGAGGGGAAATCTGATGTTTTTTAAGAAATTGCATGAGACCCTGATGGACTATTTGGATTACAACATGATTTTGATGGGAGATATGAATGGTGTGGTATCTACACATATGGACAAGGCACAAAGACAGGTAGTCACTAAGGATGGTAGACTACCGAAAACTTTTTTTGAGATGACAGACAACTTGGACTTAGTTGACATATGGAGAACAAGGAACCCCATGGCTAAAGAGGGAACCTTCTTTTCTGAAGCCAAAATGACATGGACAAGAGTTGACCAAATATGGGTAACTAGAGGAATGGCACCAAAGACAAGAAAAGTGGAAATCTGCCCAAAAACCTGCTCCAACCATAATGCTGTCAAGATGGAAATGAAACTAACACCAGCTGGCTCCTTTAGATGGAGGATGAATGACACCTTATTTAGAGATGAAGTGCTTAAGAAGGCCCAAAAAACCTTGAGAGACTATTTTGAGATAAATATGAGCACCAATGTGGAAAAAAGAGTAATCTGGGACGCAAGCAAAGCGGTTATGAGAGGGTTCTTGATACAACAGAATGCATTAAAGAAGAGAATCCAAAATGAGAAGAAGGATAAAATATTGGAGAAAATAAAGGAAAGTGAAAAAAGATTGAGAACAAAACCAAAGTCTCAAGAGATTTTGAGAGAAATAAAGTTATATCAAGTGCAATATATGAAAATTAAACAAATGAGACAAAAGACATTCGAGTCGGCTAATAAATGTGGGAAATTGTTGGCTTGGCAAATGAAAAAAAGACAAAAATTAAATACAGTTACAAATTTAGAAGTGGAAGGAAGGAATATACAGAACCCAGCTGAGATTAGAAATTGTTTCCAGAGGTACTTTAAACAACTATATACACAAGGGCCACTGAAAGAAACTGATGTAGATCGATTTTTGAAAACAAATGGATTACAAAAAATTTCTCAAGAAAATAAATTAATGTTGAATTATAAAATAACTGAACAGGAGATAGAAGGTGCCATTCAAAACATGCAACTGGGTAAATCTCCAGGACCGGATGGACTGACTTCTAGATATTACAGATCCTTGAAAGAATGGCTAGTACAACCCTTGAAAGAGGTCTGTAATGAAATAATGGAGGGGGAAAGGGCACCAGAGTCGTGGAAAGAAGCTTATATTACACTTGTACTGAAAACAGAGACTGAAAAGACGCAGCTTAAGAACTACCGCCCCATATCATTACTTAATGTGGATTACAAAATTTTTGCAGACATTTTGGCTAAGAGACTGAAAAAAGTGTTGATGGAAGAGATTCATAAAGACCAAGCGGGCTTTCTCCCGGGAAGACACTTGTCTGACAACTTGAGGAATATAATTGATATTTTGGAAAAACTAGAAGTGAACATAAATACTAAAGCAGTTTTGATATTTGTGGACGCGGAGAAAGCTTTTGACAATATTTCTTGGAGTTTCATGAAGAAGAACCTACAGGGTATGGGGGTAGGCCAAGGTTTTGAAAACGGTATAAGTGCAATTTATTCAGAACAAAAGGCTAAATTAATTGTAAATAATGTGGTGATGGAAGAATTTAAGATAGAAAAAGGGACACGACAAGGTTGCCCAATTTCCCCACTGCTTTTTATTTCGGTCCTGGAGGTTTTGCTGAACATGATTAGAAGCGACCAGTTGGTTAAAGGTATACAGGTCAGAGCCAAACAGTACAAATTGAGAGCATTTGCAGATGACTTAGTACTGACGTTACAGGAGCCAGAATCTAGTACCAAAAGGGTGTTAGAACTGAATTTGGTCAAGTTGCAGGGTTTAAATTGAATAAGCTAAAAACTAAGGTTTTAGAGAAAAATTTAACACCAATGGAGAGAGAGAGGTTTCAGAATGAGACAGGTTTAACAGTGGTTAAGAAAGTTAAATACCTGGGGATTAACATGACAGCAAAAAAAGGGAATTTATTTAAAGATAACTATGAAAAATGTTGGGCTGAAGTGAAAAAAGATTTAGAAATTTGGTCAAATTTGAAGCTTTCACTGGTGGGCCGTATTGCTGCGGTAAAAATGAATGTATTGCCTAGAATGTTGTTTTTATTTCAAACATTGCAGATTGTGGACAAAATGGACTGTTTCAAGAGGTGGCAGAGAGATATTTCTAGATTTGTCTGGCAGGGCAAGAAGCCCAGAATAAAATTCAAAATATTAACAGATGCAAAGGAAAGAGGTGGATTTGCCCTGCCAGACCTCAAACTTTATTATGAATCAGCAGCTTTTTGCTGGTTGAAAGAATGGCTGCTTCTTGAAAACACGGACATTTTGGACTTAGAAGGTTTTAACAATGTATTTGGATGGCATGCATATCTGTGGTATGATAAGGTCAAAGCACATAAAGCATTTAAAAACCATATTGTCAGGAAAGCATTGTTTAATGTCTGGATAAGATATAAGGATTTATTGGAAAATAAAACACCAAGGTGGCTGTCACCGATGGAAGCGAAACCTCTGAAAAAGCTCAATATGGAGGTCAAATGGCCGAAATATTGGGAAATTTTGGAACAAGATGGAGATAGATTGAAACTGCAGAGTTTTGAAAAATTAAAAAACAAAGTGCGAGACTGGCTTCATTATTATCAGATAATGGAGGCATACAATTTGGACAAGAAAATTGGCTTCCAGGTGGAAAAATCAAAATTAGAAACAGAATTGTTAGAACCCAAAACTAAGATTTTGTCAAAGATGTATAACTTGCTGTTGAAATGGAACACTCAGGATGAAACGGTGAAATCTGCTATGATTAAATGGGCACAAGACGTTGGACATAATATAATGATGGCTGACTGGGAACAGTTGTGGACCACAGGTATGAAGTTTACGGCATGTAATGCCCTAAGAGAGAATATTATGAAAATGATATACAGGTGGTACATAACCCCAGTCAAGCTTGCAAAAATCTACCATTTGCCCGATAACAAATGTTGGAAATGTAAAGAAACTGAAGGTACATTCTTTCACCTTTGGTGGACGTGCCCAAGGATTAAGGTTTTCTGGGAGATGATTTATAATGAAATAAAAAAGGTATTTAAATATACCTTCTTGAAGAAACCAGAGGCCTTTCTCCTGGGCATAGTCGGCCAATCAGTGTTAAAGAAGGACAGAACTTTCTTTATGTATGCTACAACAGCAGCAAGAATACTTATTGCAAAACATTGGAAGACACAAGATCTACCCACACTGGAGGAATGGCAGATGAAAATGATGGACTATATGGAATTGGCGGAAATGACTGGCAGAATCCGAGACCAGGGAGAAGAGTCGGTGGAAGAAGATTGGAAGAAATTTAAAGACTATTTACAGAAATATTGCAAAATTAATGAATGTTAGAATGATGACGGATTGAAGTTAAGCGGTTTCTAGCGGTAATGGTATAAAAGAATATGGAAAAATTGGTTTTTAATATCTAAAAATTTAATGTTATAATATATCAAGATTAAAGATCAGGATTAAAAAGGAGGGAAAGGAATCGCTGGGCTAACAAATTGAATTAGAATACGAAAGAGGGAGGTATGAGGAGGTCCGGGAAACAAGTAAATGTAAAAGAAGTGATGAAAAGATGGAATTGTTTTTAACGGTTTTTTCTTTTTTGTACTTTTTGTATTTTTCCTTTTTATTGTTAATTTTCTTATTAATGTGATCTTTTTCTTTTGAAATTTTAATAAATATCATTAAAAAAACAACAACAAACAATACAGTGGTACCTCGGGTTACAGACACTTCACGTTACAGACGCTTCACGTTACAGACTCCGCTAACCCAGAAATAGTACCTCGGGTTAAGAACTTTGCTTCAGGATGAGAACAGAAATCGTGCTCCGGCAGCGCGGTGACAGCAGGAGGCCCCCATTAGCTAAAGTGGTACCTCAGGTTAAGAACAATTTCAGCTTAAGAACGGACCTCTGGAATGAATTAAGTTCTTAACCCGAGGTTCCACTGTAATAGCTAAAATAAGGCTGAACAGTAGCATCTGTTCTCTTTTGCCCCCACATCTTAGAATGATGAAGTTACCGCATTGCTTACCTGGAAGAGGCAAAGCTTTATTAACATATTGTTACAAAAGTGGTGGTGGGGCACTCACACTCTCTGCTGAGCTGCAACAAGAGCCCATGGAGTTCTCCTTTGGAGAACTGAGACACAGGGAGATTGTTGTAGCTCTAAGAAACATGCTTTATGCACCTATTTACACTTTCAGTCTGCATGGAGAGAGTCCAGATCTTATAGCAAGGTCCTTTCAAGAGGGGCTTGTATCCCACAGCAGTGCAGCCATGGCATATCTCCTGCTCAGACCTTCAGCCAGCCTGCCCAAAGATGGTTCCCAGGCCTTCTTCCTTTTCTTCCCACCAACAGTTGCTCAAGACTCTTCCTGTCAGCTCACACCCAGTTGCCCTGGCAACCTTCCAACCCCCCAGTCTCTGTTCACACTCCAGGGGATGGGGGAAGGTGAATCCTGATGTATTCCTGATTTTAGAGTGTGTGAAATAGCTATTCACCTTTATGCGTGAAATATTATTTTGGTTTGCTCTTTCTCCTCACTCCCCTCCATGACATGTGTGCTGTTATTGTTATTTCCATGAGCCTTTTGGAAAAATCCTTTCAATTACCTGCATACAAGTGAAGGAGACTTCTATGTGGATGAGCAAACAACGGTCAAAGTCCCTATGATGAACAAAGACAGCCGGTTCGAGACTTACCGTGATAACATCCTATCCTGTAAGGTTGTGAAGCTCCCTTACAAGGGTGACGTTTCAGCATTCTTTATTCTTCCTGACCAAGGAAAAATGAAGCAGTTGGAAAATGCTCTTAGCAAAGATGTTTTGTTAAAATGGATGAAATTGGTAAAACCATGGTAAGAGATCATAGTGGAAAGTATGTAACACACAGACACACTTTTCAATGCATGTGGAAATATCTTGCTGTGAGTTTGAGGGATGGGGTTAGGCTTTATGATCCCTTCTACTTCCTGGATCAGTGAACGATTCCATTGTGGAATTAGCCAGGAGAGGACCATACTGGCCCCTAAGTATGGGTCATTAGTATAAAAAAAGGAAGTTGCTTTGGGACACAATCTCCTTTTCCTGACTGGTGGTGAGAAGGTCAAAGGCCAGGGGAAATGTTTGTGTGTGGGTTTGAAGCAGGCAGAAGCCAGAGAGTGCGAGCCATGCCTGATTTCTGTTGGAACCCAATGTGATGACTATGCGATAAACAAGTCCATCTTGACCACCTGTTTAGGGAAGTTTTTAATGTTTTATATTTTATCGCTGCTTCTTCTTCTTCTTCTTTGGCAGCCGCCCAGAGTGGCTGGGGAAACCCAGCCAGATGGCTGGGGTATAAATATTATTATTACTATTATTATTATTATTATTATTATTATTATTATTATTAATGTGGTGTTAGGCGAGGGGCAATATATCTGATGGGGGACATGGGTGTAACCACGGGGGCAGCTTCCCTGCCTAAAAAAAAAAAATCAAAAAATTTAACTAACTGACCAATTGTGTCACAGATAACTCGGTTTTGCCCCCGTAACATAAAGCCTGCCCCACTCTAAAATAAATCCTGGCTACTCCCTTGATGGGGGACACCTCATGCTCCTTCTGGGTAGTTCATCCACCATTGGTCCATCCCCCCTGCACTCAGCTCTCATCTGCGGCTTCTAGCATGCGGCTCAGCGTGTGACAATGGCCACACCCCAGGAACAGCTTTTATACCCTCACCTGGCTATATCAGGTGAGGGTAGTCATAGTAACGGAGCTATTTTAGTCCTGTCTATTCATTTCATTGGGAATGAGTGGGACTAGTAGTGGATACAATCCCATTGTTACATACAAAAACGAAACTAATATATTCCTTTTTAGCAATGTGATCATGGACTACCATTTTTTAATTTATATCCTTTTAGCAATTATACTCTAGCCATAATGTAAATTGTCATTCTTTGTATTATGCACCCCACCCCAAGCAATACCTCACTAGCCTCTGGTTCTTCTTTCAACAGGAGAATAGAGCTTTCCCTTCCAAGGTTTACAATCTCTGGAAACTATGTTCTCCAAGAGATGTTAAGAAAAATGAATATTACAGAGGTATTCACAAACAGAGCAGACCTCTCTGGAATTACTGGGAAGCCTGAGCTGAAGGTTTCCAAGGTAGGTTCCTCCAAATTCACCCTCTTATCCAAAGGTTCTATATTTTCTTTCATCCTGCATTTTAGGCCAGAGGTACACTTGTCTGAAGGTTCAAATGAACATAATTTGGGGTTTAGAGTACTTGAACCACAATCCCATCTCTCATGGAGAGGAGGAGCCAAATATATTTTGTATCCCAGCTGTGCTTGAAGACAGTTGAAGGGAAGCACCATTGGAGTTGGTCTCCCAACAGAACTTATTGAGAGACCCTTAAGCCCTACTTCCTCCTTTTCCCATCATGCCCGACCCTTGGTCATGTAGCGTGGGGTTGTTGGGGAGTTGGGCCGCAGCTTCCTCACTTCTGAATGCTAATGAGCAGAAAATTAGGTTTCATTAGCTTTGGGAAGACTGCAGTTAGCATTGGGGATGGAGGAGGAATGTAATTTTTGTTTTTTTGTTTTTTACATGAATAGAACAACCTTTATTTTTCATTGCATAGATAATCTTATTTAGAGTACCAGATTATTTTGGAAAAACTGTATCATAAAGAGCAGCTTGCCTACTGTTAAAAGAATCCAGCTGTGTTCTGAGACACAGGGCCAAATAACTCGTGTGTGTGTGTGTGTGTGTGTGTGTGTGTGTGTGTGTGTGTCTATCTATAGGATGGGACACAGGTTTAAGATACCACAGTACTTTATGGTATTTTAAAAACAACTTTCCATAACTGCCCTTCATTTGAATGGTTGTCAAGGAACAGAGAGTACTTGCTTCGAGCAGAGCAGCTTGTACCAGAATGCTGCACATTCATAATAAACCATAGGTTATTTCAGACAATGGCTTACTGTTACATTCTAACAGGGCCAGTGGGTTCAATTTATGGCAATAAGACTCTTCTACTTTGTCCCAGTGTGGATGTAACTATTCTCTAGAAGTAAGTTTAACTCTCTTCTTTGATGTGAATTGAGAAATGTAATTTATATGCAGAATTTGTTCAGACAGCATCTTGTATTATGTGCCTGCTTATGTCTGACCTGCTCATGCATTGTCTCTTTTTAAAACAAACAAACAAACAAACAAACAAACAAACAAACAAACAAACCAACCTTTGATTAACCGTGTGTGTGTGTACACATACACTATGTTTCTGCAGCGTAATTTTGTAAGTATATTATAAGTATATAATGTATTTTATAGAGTTGCCATATTTCAAGAATTTAAAATCTGGAGACAAAAGTTGTTCAGCTTTTGGAGGGGAATGAACCTCAAAGCTGCTGAGCTTTTTGGGGGGCAACCATCGGGATCTTGCTTCTCATCATCATTAAGGGAGAGGCAAGATTTTCTGAAAATTCCATCAGTTCCTTGAAGCTGACTGATACAAAAAGATGATGCTTAGAGATGGTTAGGACTAGATTAATAGCTAATCAGAATGAGAAGTGATCACATGAAGCTGTTTCTTAAGACATTCAATGGATTTGTCTGTTTCGAAGGACTAGATTTTCTCATACTAAAATCCTGATTCAGTCACTATGTTGTACTGAAGTATTGCTATCTTTCTTTGCAGGCTATTCACAAGGCTTACTTAAATGTCCATGAGAATGGCACAGAAGCTGCAGCTACTACTGTTTTTGAAAGTGTCCCCTACTCCGTGCCCCCTGAAGTTAAGTTCAACTGCCCCTTTCTGATGGTAACTGTTCATGAGAAAACCAGCACCATCTTGTTCATAGGAAAAGTGAAGAATCCTACTGAGACATGATTGAACAACTTGTGCCGCAGCACAGAAAACTTTGGTTTCCAATATGAGGCATGTTTGAAAAGATGCTTTTAGGTATCAGGTACTAGGGCCATTTCTATAACATGTTCCCAAACAAATTAAACAATAGTTGAGTTGTCTGCAAAATCATTTGGTGTCTTCCTTCCTTCCTTCCTTCCTTCCTTCCTTCCGTCTTTTTGTCTTTCTTCACAGACTTAAAAATATGCAGTGTATTTCAGGGGAGCAACATGAGTGATTGAGTTACTGAAATTAAGCCAGGAGTTTCCTTCCTGGCACCTGTGAGTTTCATGGCATCTGCAAAGGCTTTCACTGGTGCCCCTGGGTAGGAACCCCAAAGAGAGCTTTCAAGAAAAGTAATGTTCTTCCCCCCTAGAAAGAATGTTATGGGGCAAAATGTGCAAGTTCCTTCAAACAAAGGCTGGTGGAAGATACTGCATACCACAGATACCAGTCAGGCCCCCAGTGATAAACCTGGATTAATGAGTGCCCACACGTGCACAAAGCAGAAAGTTGCAGACACAGGTCATGCATTCCCCCTGCCAATTCACCATGCGGACCAGAAATGAAGGTCACCACACAATCAGTATGGGATCAAATCAGGCCACAATTTTATTGACTACAGATGAAGAGGTTTGGCCTGGGTAACAATTTACTTCTGGCCCGTCTGCCAGAAATGACTTCAAGGGTCAACCCAGCAGCGGGGATCCCTATGACTTACATCAAATGGGGTAATCCCAGCAGGGATTGCTGCCTAGAGGAGCGCTGAGGCCCAGGTCCCCATTTGGGCATATGGACAGAAGCAACTCCTACACAGATCCCTTTATTGGGGTACCCAATTTCAGGAAGGTGAGGCGAGGGTACAAACACCCCCTCCAGCCAAGACCAAGGTTACTCAATGCCTAAACCACCAAACATGTGATGATTGCTATGATGTAGACAAAACCCTCAGGCCATAGCCAATTTGCCTGAAAGGCAATTTCCTACCCAGCCCTGAATATAGCTCCCGCAAGAGTTGCACACTCTTTGAAGGGAGCACGGCTCTTGGGCGCTTTTCTGGGAGGATGCTATGTTCCCCCACCTCCTGCAAAAGCCAGGGATAGCCACATGAAGCCTCCACAGGGCAGCGGGATGAAGGGCAGCCCTTCTCCCTCCTAGGGGAAAAGCCCCGAAGAGCCGCACACACACTCCATGCAGCTCTTTAAAGGGACCGCTGAGCAGATCCTCCGGCCTGCATTCACTCCATAAGACGCACACACATTTCCCCTTACTTTTTAGGAGGGGAAAAGTGTGACTTATAGAACGAAAAATATGGTAATTGGCTCTTTTGATTGCATTATGATCTGGTATGATTTGGTATTGTATTAATGTGGCCTGTGATCAGGACAAGACAGAGTGTGTGTCTGCTTTTAAAGGTTTCTTTCTGGCTACCGAAACAAATAAGGACCAACTGAATAAAGAGCGTGACTTTGCTCCGGTCCAAGAAACTGTCAGATATGCTTTCAAAAACGTATCTTCTCAAATGTGTGTATATAACAAAGTTGACAACTATGTAACTGAATATGTGAAAACTGCAAATATCCCTAAGGGTATTAGATTGCCATTTCCCTTTCCACAGTTGCAATACTCTTAGTGCTAAGAAAAAACATAAAGCGGTCAGACAGGAAAATAAGGAAAGACAGTTTAACAGATACAAATCTTCAGACAACTGGGGCATATGCCTGAGGTGATCTTTATGCAAACATGCAAGGACACACCAGGGGGTGGCCAGACATGTCACGGAGTCAGGAACCGGCAGCGCTTCCAGCAATTCCGTTCCTGTCAAAAGCCAGAGGACAAACATAGCCATCAGCGCCCCACAACCCCACCTAGGAAAAACTTTATACAACAATCTGTACTCATGTCCAACAAAGAACTTGCTCCCCTAATAACAGTTTTTAGTATTAAGAAACGGCCCCCGCAAATAAGGGCAGCCAGGAGAAAAAACTCAATGGGAGACAAAGAGATCTGCCCAAAGGCAAGGTAGACTGGGGGGTTCAAAACAACTTACTTAAATGACCTGTCAAGCACGGACCAATGAACATAACCAAACAGCACCATCTTGTGTTTACTACACTGGTACTGCAGTGTAATCCCATATGCTCCCTTCATTGATCCACTATGTCAAAGAGCAATTGAGTAGCGTAACGGAATTGCTACAATGTATCCACTGTAATTAATTACTTCCTGTCTATAAGGGCCTTCTCCAATTGTGCAAACTTTCAAAATATTCTTATAAATTGACCGTTCCACGGATCTTCACCCTTCCAATTTAAGTCTGCTAAGGGGAAAGATGGCTACCAAAGGGGAGGGCTTGAGATGTGAACCTGGCAACCATAACCCCCAAAGCAGAAGATCACGTACTCAGCGAGCCTTGCCCAAGAGATAATATCAGACCCAGGTGTCAGACAGATAGCCATCTCAAGAACAAAGACGGACTACCCAAGAAGGAATTTGGGTCTTGACTAAACAAAGAGACTGTGATTAACCTGACTGGGAGGGTCAGGAAACTGTAAATATCCCCTTTGTCTTCATCTATAGGTGTCTGGTGGAGGTCATGAGGAGGGAAGGGGCAGTCTCCCCATACTCAGGTTACTGCCACCAAACCTCCCCTTGTGTGACGAATCTATGATGTAGTAATGATGTACTTTTAGAGGTGTGCATATGTAATTTAGAAACTTATAAAAGTTTCGGTCCTCTTTTGTTTGAGGTCTTGCCTGTCTCTCTGTTGGATTGGGTAGGACCCTGCCATAGCAGTTGCTTTCTATCAAAATAAAGGTCAGGCTTCACAGCTGCTTTGCTTCAAGTTACTTTGGTTGTCGTCTAGTTTATTTCTCTCCGACCGCAGGAACCATCTAGTATCTTGTAGGCCCATCATGTCTCTTAAGGACCCAGGTCGGTTTTGTTCTGTTTTTTCCTGCTGTATTGGACTGTTATTAATGAAAAATTAATAAAAAATATTTACAAAAAAATACACCAGTACAACAAAGTACTCCCAGCAGGATGAAGTAGGTGAAAAAGAGGAGTCCCAGGCAAATTAGGGGCTCCCTCCAAAATTCCTATGCAGTTCTTAGCAAAAGCCCATCCTGCATAGGGAAGGAGGGCACACTGAAGTGGAGACTGGCATGTTTGGGGAGGAGCAGGGCTGAAAAGGGGGTCTGCTTCTCCACCTCCATATTCGACCCATGCTTGTGTTGGGATTTCAGTTCTCACAAGCTGCCAGGAAGCAGGTGGGTTGTTTACATCAGGTGATGTTACTGACCGTGGGACAGGAAGTCTGAGTCAGTTCTCAGAGTACTCAGTCTAACCGGGTGGAGTTTGCTGAGTGCTTCTTCCGCTTCTGGATTGAAGCAGTGTTGAGTCGGAGACTCTAAGGCTGTACTGCTCAAGACGAGCAGCCATGCTTTTGTATGCAGTTTTAATAAAGTAGCCTAGAGACTACGGACTGCCTTTTTCTTCTGATGGGTTGCCAGGAAGTGAGTGTGCTTTTCTCACAAGGGAGAAGTCGCTTATTAATGGTCTCTCTGGACTGAGGAGGATTCCTGGGTTCCAGCCAGAGAGTGGACCTCCGGATAAATGCTCCGGTGGGTCTGGGAGCTGGCAAGCCTCCCGGGTGGGCGTTTTTCCAACAGCTTGCACATGGGTTAGCAGCACAGCACCTCTGAGGGAGCTCACCTGTGTTTTCTTTCCCAGGGGAATCAGGGTGTGGCAAATTCGCCCCCTGTTCAAGTGTGAGAGCGGCATTGTGTAAAATTGCTATGCAAGTTTTCGTGTGTGTTCATTCTTGTGTTTTAAGGTAATCTTGTGTGCTGTATTTTTGTTGTTTTTTATGCTGCCCAAGATGAAGGTCAGGCTGTGAATGTTCATAATAAAATAAAATAATAAATAAAATAATGACGACATATGTGTGAAATCGCTCTTGGGTTTCAAGCACTTCAAGTCCACCTTGGGCAAACATCATTTGAATTAAAATAAGCAATAGCTAGTCAAACTAAAACAACAACAACAATGCCATGAATCCTTCAGTTGTTTAATAATTTGTGCCAGTAGCGGCCTTAACTCAAAATACAATTTCATACACATTGTACACTAAACCAGAACATAATTGTAAGTCATGCAAATGTCTCCTAGCTGTGTAATTACTTCTTCTGAGGGTTTGCAACTCTTCCCATGAACAAGATGGATTTGGTGATGTCATGGAAGATAAGAACGAGGATGGGCGTGTTCAACCTCACTATAAGATGCATGCTCCGGCTAACTGCTTCCACTGCAGTGGCAGCTGCAGCTTCAGTGCCAGCCTCGTCGACATTCAGAACAGCTTCGTGAAAAGCCTGCCAGCGAGACAATCAAGAATTAGTCTCCAACATAGGCCAATATGTTATGATTAGACAGAGATGGTCCTGGCCCTTGCAAGCAGAAGAGGGTATGCGAGACAAAATTAATGTTGTCATTTCTCACAACTATGATGTATTAATCTCTCTTTCCCACCAATCATGAGTGTATTGTGCACGCCTCCAGTTATTCAAGAATTTGTGCTCAGGGGACTGTACACTTTCTCTTCTTCCTCACCATTGCTAGGTTTAGTTCAAAAATGCATCACAAGTTTTACTCTTTTCAAAATGAAATCTGGTCTCACATTTTCAAAGTAAGCCCAAGGTTACTTTGATCATGATTGTGATGCATGGCATGAGCAGAGATATGTTTGACTAGATCTCTCAATTATTATCTATCTGTTCATGTAAGAGTCTTCATCAATGGAGGTGGGGGGGTAGAATTGGATCTGAGTGGTGTATATATAATTTTTATTAAATTTTCTATTTTACAATTTCAACTAAATGTTTTACATAAAATATCAATGACTTCCCTTCTTCCCTTTCCATGGTTCATTTTGCATATCTTGTATCCTTGTATATTTTTCAAAAATTATTTCAATTGCTTTTCCATTATTCCATCTGTCAATGATTATTGAATTTATCTTACTGCTGCCAGCATTTTCAGCTGTACACAGTTATTTTCCATATAATCAGTAAATGTTTTCCAATCTTATTTTTCTCTTATTCTATACGTTAAGTCTGCCAGTTGTGCATATTCTGTCAACTTAAGTTGCCAGTCTTCTTTAGTTGAGACCTTGCTCACTCTATAGACTAACTATGAGAAGAAGTTTCAGATTGATAACCAAAGGGTGATCATCTTGAAAGAAATCCTGATGACAATATTGAAAAAAAGAGCCAGCTATAAAGCTCTGACAGAAACCTTGAGATGTAACAGAATAAGATACAGATGGGAGTATCCGGAAGGCATTTCATTTACTTATAAAGGGAAAAAACAAAGATGTAGGTGGTTTCCAAACGAGGCAGAAATGTTATTAAAGGGGGGGGGGACATTTAAAGATAAAGAGACCAAGTAGAGATGAAGAAGAACAGGGAGCGACAGGAGGACAAATAGATCAGGACGATAATGAACCTGTAGATGCATGAAATAAGGTAAAAAACTACATGACAATGATGTATTGTTGGTACCTAACCCCAGTTAAGATTGCAAAGATGGATAAAAACTCCACAAAAGTATGCTGGAAATGTAAAGATAATGACGGCACCTTTTTGCATATGTGGTGGACTTGTAGAAGAGCAAAAGACTTCTGGGAAATGATTTATAATGAGTTTTAAAAACTATTTAAGATAACCTTTCATAAAAAACCAGAAGCCTTTTTGCTCGGAATAGTGGGGGAAGAGATACCAAAGAACCTAAAGAGATTGTTTAAGTATGCTACCACGGCCGCCAGAATGCTGTTTGCCCAAAAATGGAAAGAAGAAGGTACACCAACGAAGGAAGAATGGATAGACTATGCCGAAATGGCAAAATTTACCGTGAGGATTAGGCAACAAGACGAGAAAATTTTTTCACAAGATTGGAAAAAAACTTATAGAATATGTTAAAGAACACTGTAAATATGTTAAAACATTAGCAGGGTTGTAACATTTATGATGGGTTAAATTTGGACAATCTATTCATAAATAAGATTTGAAATTTATAGAGGAAAAATAATGATATGCAAGATGACGATTGATTGAAATTGGAAGCCATGGGAGGAAGTCAGACAAGACGAATTTGGTGCATAATTATTTTCCTTTGTATAAAAACAAGCATGAAGGGGGCCTCCCAGCCTGTTCACAGGTCCTTATATGATCAGTGAAAACAGTTGGTCCTGGCAAGTACTAACCTCTCTCAGTCTTAACCTGATAACTGCCACTTGTCCAGATTTTAATTTGTCTGAATTAATTTTAGGATGTATTTTAATTAATTTATGCCTGTTTTTATGTATGCTGTGTTATTTATATGATGTTAGCCGGGGCTTAAGGGTTTCTCCACCAGTTCTGTTAGAAGACCTGGGGCTTTTCCTCAACTGTCATCAAACAGTTTGTGGTGCCTCTTCATCAGCACAGCTGGAATACCAAGTATTTTTTGGCTCCTCCTCTTCATGGGAGATGGGATTGTGGTGCAAGCACTCTAAAACATTTGACTCAAAGTGTAGGGTGAAATAAAATAAAGAGCCTTTGGATCAACATGATTGATTTTGAGAAGCCTACCTTGGAAACCTTCAGATCAGGGTTCCCAGTAAATCCAGAGAGGTCTGCTCTGTTTGTGAATACGTCAGTAATACCCATTTTTCTTAATAGTCCTTTGACAGAATAGCTGCCCGAGATTGAAAACTTTGGAAGAAATAGATGTATTCTCCTGTTGAAAGAGGAATCAGAGGCTGGTGAGGTACACTTTGAGAAAAATGCATAAGGCAAATAATGGAAATTTACAATATGGCTAGATTAAAAGGGGCTGTCAATTATTGCTAAAAGCACAAGATTAAAAAAAATAGTAGCCAATGACCACAATAAATAGATTTTTATAACAATGGGGTTATATCCAGTGCTCGTCCTACTCAGAGCAGACCCCTTGAAATTAATAGGCAAGACTAAAATATCTCCATTAATT